AGAGTAAATCACTCACCTTCGTGCTATGCAGAGACCTCAGGTCCTGTGCACCCAGCACGTGGTGCAGTCCTTGGTGCTGTTTTTCTAGCAAAGCAGGATAATGTCTGACTGGTCTTTGCACACTTACAGTCAGCAGTCATTGGTGCAGCCTTGGAAAGGGGAAAAAAAGAGTATTTTGATTCTAATCTTTTCTTAAAACATGGCACAAATCCAGCACCAACAAATAATGTGGGATAGGTGGAACTGTGATAGTATCACACGTCTCAAATGTCTTGGTTATGTGACAGCTTGACTAAAGCCAGGAAACTTTCCTTAGGCTCTACTTAGTCTACCTTAAAAAACACAAACAAACAACTTTATGCATCAAAAAGTCCAGCTAGAGGACTTTCCTAATTGCCCATAATTTTTAATTAGCCCTTGCGTTTTCCCCTGAAGTGGCTTGAGTGCAGTACCCAGACTGCAAACACTGTTCCTTGTGCTGGTGAGCTGCACATGGTGACTGCTCTAAATATCATTTATCCGGCACACGGTTGAGGCTCGACAATATTTGGGCAGTTTACAAGAAGCAATATCGTTCCTTCCCTGCCCTGCAGAGAGCCTGGCTGTTCTGCATTAGTCCACACTGCTCTACAACCTGCACAGAACTGGAGGTCTTGGTTTCCAGAGCCATAACCAGATCCAGTCAGACTTGGGGGTTGCTGCAGTAGCTGGTTGGGGTCCACAAAACTTCAAGGTAATCAGACATTCAAGGCCTCCACAGGAACTAATCTTTAAAGACTAAGAAAGGGTTGATCTTCTGCAAGGCTAAATCAAAGGGTTATCACATGGCCACATCATTCACTGGTAACTGAAGTTACCAGTGAATGTCATCTCTGAGCCTACAAACACAGGGTAACAGATGAAGCCTGTGTGTGCAGGGGTACTTTCCCCCTGCTGTCCAGGCACAGGTAGACATTGTTCAACAGACAGCTGGTACAGGATTATTTTAGGCTGTGCTCAGTTACCAGAGATGCCCTTTGAGTGTTTGGTACATTCAGTTTCCTGCCATCCACTCCATTTGTTTCTGTTTGGTAGAGGGATTCACCTAAAGTGACACCTCTCTCTGGTAAAACACAGTACTGGGAGCTAATCAAGTGCTTTATATTTCTGAGCATAGAAACTTTTTGTTTTAATTGTGCTGTGTGGGAAAGAGCTGTTGTTTTATCCCTATCTCAGGTGGAAAGGTCTTAAGCAGGAGATGCAATACTGCATCTGAATACACATACTGTATTTCAGAATGAAATGCTGCCTGATAATATTTTTATAACCCTGTACTGTATCCAGAATTAGCCATGTGGACAAAGAGAAGTGGGAAAAACACAAATTTCCCCCCTCAGACACAAATCCAGAATCTGCAAAGTCCAGGCTGGGGTGATGGGGGGAGATGAGGGTACAGAGGTGAGGATGAAGGTCGGCAAAGCAGCCACCTTTCCGAGGGGTTTGCAGTCCCCAGCTTAATCCTCACCTAGAAAGCAGGCTGAGGGGGAGGGTGAACCAGCAGCAGGGGCACTGGGCTCAGCCAGGTCCATGGTGGCTCACAGAGAACTCAGTCTCCTGCTGGACCCTGTTTTGGGGAACACCACATCTGAGGCAGCCACAGCCAGTTTGGCTCAGCCAGCTCCGTTATGGCTCCAGCCACGAAAACATCCTCTGAGCTGTCCCAGAGAGCCCTTGGCCCTGGGTCACAGCCCAGCTGCTGATCGTCCACCCCTCAGCCACCTTTACATCCCCTCAGCAAAGAAATTGTGATCTGTGTGATGCAACCACAGTGTTGTTTGTGCAGCGATATTGTCAGTGCAGTGACACGCAGCCCTCTGACACAGCCTGTGATGTCCCTGAAACAAGGGAGCATCCCTCTCCCAGCAAACAAGGCACCAAAACCACCAGTTTGCACCAGTTTTCTGCTGAAATCCTCCAAGAATAATGATATATGACAACTCAGGGGAGTACCAAGCTCTCAGTAGATCAGCAGCTAAGTGGAGTAGAGCCTTGAATCCAAAACATGAAATGTATTAAACCAGACAGTACAGGAAAACAGATCACAGAACAAGGTGGTGCAACAACACTTCTACCCAGGAGCAGGACTGTCTTGCTTGGCAGAGCCTGCCAGGAAAGAGGATTAAAAACCACAAGATGGTAAAAAATTCCAGTGATGAGTGAGTGTTTACCAAAGGCTACATGCCACGTGGGTACATGAAGTGTCCCTTGCTCACCTGGGGTGGGACAAATTAATTAACACCTGAACAAAAATGAAAGCAACAACAGCTTGTGTTCCCCTCTCTGAAAGGGATGATCCTTCCTGTATTTATTTATTTATTTATTTATTTATTTATTTATTTAACCTTTAGGTATTTTTTTCATAGCAAAAGAATATCTTGTTTGTCATTGCAGTCTGGGACTATTTTTAACACTAGTAATGAGTGACTAAAGTGGGGTGGAGTAGCTAAACCAGCTCGCTGCTCCCAGCCACCCACAGGGTTTATCTGACCATCAGAGGGGGAGATGGAGCAGGGCCAGCCCTCGTGAGGAGGCAGAGCAAGACGCCTGCAAAGTGTCTGTGTCCTGGGACACACATGGTGAAAAAATGCACACCACTTCCTGCTGATTAAAAAAGGGCTCAGACTCCTCACAGGGCAGGCACGTCCAATGCCTGAGTATTTCTCTGCATCAATCTCTGACCAGAGCCCACAGAGCATGTAGTTTGCATCTCACCTGCCCATCAGAAAAAGATAGAAGAAAAGCCATCTGTGCAAACAAGTCATTCCTGGACTAGAGGATGCCCAAAGGAAGGCAAATAGTGGTTTCTCACAGTAAATTACTGAATCAGTAAATTACTAAAAATCAGTAAGTCAGTAAATTACTACAAAATCGTGGAATCATTAAGATTGAAAATACCTCCAAGATCATCAAGTCCAACCATTAATCCAGCATCACCACATTCACCACTAAACTGCATCCCCAAAAGCCACCTCCTCGTGCTTTTTGAACACTTCCAGAGATGTAACACCCGGCCCCCGCCTCTCCTTCTGGGCGGTCTCTACAGAGGTGCGCTGGCACTCGGGGAGTCGGGAGCTGTTGAAGTGGATACATCCCACATCCCTTCTCCCATCACCACCACGACTGCTGCATTCAGAGGAGGGATCAGAACTAACCGTGGGAAGTACCAGATGGCAGCTGCTGAATACAGCGAGCTGGCTGCCAAGTCCTTCCCAGCAAAAGAGCGCACGGACGGAATGGGAATGAAGGCACGGTCACTGGAGCATGACAGCAGTAGGGCAGCACTTGGAACACAGCACCAGCCTCAGCTGAAAAGCAAGAAACACTCCGCTCTGGACAAAAGTATTCTAGAGGACCACGTGTGTGTATCTAGAGTTTTTTTAATATATATATATTATATACACATAAAAATAAAAGCCTACCTAATGTAGAGAACTGCTGTGAAATGTTCAAACCCCTATTCATACTAAGTCACGTAAAGCAAGTTGTGCTGATGGGTTAAAACTGTGTTTATTGCAGAAGAACAGAGAGATGCCAACAAACCCCAGCACGCTCTGGAGCACATTGCTGTGGTGGTGTGAGACAAAACACAAGAGCAGCAGAGCCTCTGTCCCCCAGCCCTCCACCCTGTCATCATTCTTCTAGCAGCCAGGACAGAGAGCAAGCACACATGTGCCCAGTGTGGAGCCTGCACTGACAAGGGGCCCAGGCACCCTTGGGCTTCTTGGATGTTTGTTCCCTTTTTCCAGGTCTGCCAGACAGTTGGACAGTGAGGACACAGTACTGCCAAACCTTGCAGCAATGGCTCACAGCGTCACCCTGTCAAGGCAGAAGCACTGATGCCTCGTGTGTGTGCAATAAGGGACATGCATTTTAAAACAATGGGTTTTTTCCCCCACACTGTCCAACCCCACTTGGTTGATTCACCAGAAACACAGAATTAATAAGTCACCTTGAATATTCCCAGCTGTGACATGCACAGGGCCAAACTGTTCAATGAAGCACTACATTTTAAGAGTATTTAAATACACTGTTATATGTCTTCTAAGACCTCAGAGAGAAATTATTTAAGCATTTTCATTTAGAAGGGATGGCTGAGGGAGAAAAAAATAATATTTCACTATTTTGAAGCAGTAAGTTAAATGGAATCATAGCACATGCCAGTAAAGTAGACGTATAAAGTACAGCTTGGAAATCTTGGCTTCAGCCCATAGAGGAAGTCAGATTGATTATATTACCACACAGCCTTAAAAATCAGGGAAGTGATTTGGGATAACAAAAAGAAAACTACTTGGAGAGCTATTCATAAAATGAAAACAGAAGAAAGGTAATTTTGTAGAAATATTAAAACCCAGTAATTTTTTTTCAGTGCTCATCTCTAGGGAGACAGGATGTTGCTCTGTCTTTTATTGGTTTAGTTAAAACTGTTCCTCTTGCATGTGATCACAGGTTGGTCTAGAGCATGTATCTGCTACAGCAAACTTGCAAGATACAAGCTGAGATTTTAAAAAATTTTTCTTTTAAGTCACTTCCATAAACACCTGAAGTTGCTGAACTAAAATTATTTATAAAATTACACAAGGTGTTATAACTGGAGAAGTGGCAGCAGAGACATGTGATATAAGTCACAACCACTTATACCAGCTCAGGATTTGTCCTACAAACTGACAAGCTCCAGGATCTCAAAGGTCAAATTTCCTTGAGCAACTGCAAAGAGCTGTCTGAAAAAGTTAATCATGCTCCTTTATATTAAATTAATACATAGCTAATGGAGAAGGAGAAAACCAAACCCAAATCTTTTTTATCCTTAGGATTTACAATAAAGGCTAAGCAATGTCTCTGACTGCAGGGATCACACACACAAACCTAAACACTAGAGACAGGAGGTTTTACTCACAGTAGCTTCTGCAAATGTATTTGCCAAGAGTGAGTGATGAAGCAAGGGGGGATCTGAATGTGTGTTTCAGTCTTGATGCGCAGTTCAATCTGCCACTTGTGCTGCACAGAGGAGCATCAAGACTCTCTGTTCAGCTGCTCTGAGGTCTGGGGGATGCAGCCACCACAAAGGGTTTGACTCCTGTTTCTTCAGCTGGCCCAGTCCTTCATGCTCGGTAATTCAAAATTCAACTCCACTGAGTTTATTTAGAAAAAGAACCTTTTACACGTGCAGAGAGGCTGGGAAAATAGAGCATTCCTACCTCCAGCTTTTTGCTCAATGGTATTTTAATTGCACCCAATGAGGATCCAGGTTGCCTCTCAGAGCCAACGTGAATTCACTGCTTTCTAGAGGATGATTATACAACACTGAGAGGGCAAACCAGAGCCTTCAGACATAAGCATATTATATAGTTTCCAAAGAATATCCATGGGAATTGCAAGTACGGTTACAAATTGCTGTGCTTTCAAAACATAAACACAATTACGTGCTTTGCTGACCCGTGGTTGTCTTGAAGTCTCTTGCCCAGGACCTAAGACTATTTTAAACAATCTGGAGGTATCAAGTCAAGCTAAGAAGCTGCAGCATCGAATTTATGCAAACTGCAGCCCTGCACTTATCAACTGCATTGATAATAATTGTGCTTCTTATCAAGAGAGGGCAAATGAATAAACACAGAAAGATTAAAAAATGCGAAGAGTCCTCTGAAGAGGGCTACATGAAAAGCCTTAAGTAGACAATATTTCTTCACAACGAACATACCGTCAGGTTTAATACCACAGCTATTAGAAATTATTTACTGTATAGAAAAAGATGATTTTTTCATTCCCCAAATAGTAAATAGTACATGTATTCTTCCAGCTGAGAGAAAAAGCACAGGATAGCTGCAATTCATTTCTTCTTGATTCACAGTTGCAAATAATAAAAGTTCACAGAAAGAACTTTCTCTTTCAGAATAAAGTAGAAACATCCATTTGCTAAAAGTACAAGTCTTGTCTTCTGTCATGAATCTGAATACCTGAAAGACACAGCAGCATCAGTAGAGTCAAACAGCACATTCCATGCAATCTCCTAAGGCGTTGTGCAAACAAAATTGCACCTTTGGGTCTGGTGCAAAAGAGCCCTTACTAGAATAACCAGAATGACCCATCCTAAGTATCCCCAAAACATTGCACATCAAGGAACCGACAGCAGGGTATGACCCAGTCTCAAGAGACTAATAAAAATATGGAAGCTTGAAGGCTTTGGGAGTAATTTCTTAGCCCAACTCTCCTAGCAGTGTGGTGGGTTTGTTGGTGCAAACTGCAGCAGTGCCAGCACGTGGGTCCAACAGAGACCTCAGCCCGAAGCCAGGTGCTTCAGGTACAAATCAAGAGGTATTCTATCTTTCTAGGATCTGAAACTTGGACAACCACTGAAAAACAGGCATCACAAAGTGGTAGCCTGATGATATAAAAAGTAAAGTACATGGGGTTAAAAAAATCATGTATCTCATTTTAATATAATGTAATTTTTTCTTCTTCTTTGTTAATGTAGATATGGGAGGTGATGTGTCTATCTGGGGAAAAACAAGCTTTTGAAATACAGCCTGGAAGCAAACAAGGAAATATCTTTAATTCTGCATGTATAAGCAGAATATTTAAGAATGTCCTTCATAGGTGAGCAGATTTGTTCCAAACCTGCTGCTTTCATTACTCACCTGCAGTGGCATGGCTTACGCTGGGATTTTCTGAGTCTTGGTAAGAACTTCCTTTCCTCTCTTAAAGAAAAAATCATAAAAAATACCAGGGATGAGCAGAGATTCAACACAGAGCTAAAAGTAGACAGTAATTCCTAAAGAAACCTTGTGCTTTTGCAGCCCAGCCTATAGCACAGGTGCTGGGGAGCTCTGTGCTGTCTGGCACAGCAACATACACTTCCATAAATATAAATATCAGCTGTTCTGAAACATGACACAGCACAAGAAGTATATTTAACAGATAGAGGCAGGAAACAGGGACTTCCACAGCCAGACTAAATGCACACATCTGAGGGATTTGCCAAAGACTCCCTGGGAACATGGACCAGCCATTTCTTATCAATCCTTCTTGTTTGATAGGTACATGTGTGGTGTTACACATGTGGTGTTAAGAGGCTCCCTGAATATTCAGAAAGGCCCTGTAAACATCCTGAAAGAAAAGGCCATGGCTGGGGAATACTGAGCTGTTTAATTTCCTTTTCAGCTTTTCCCCACTCATTTTCTTTTTGAAATTTTGGGGGAAAATGTCCACTTCTGTTAACAGTGCTTCCCTGTTTTGACCCCAAGACTACTTTCACGAAATATCTTCTTTTCTGGAGGAGTCATTTCTTGAGGTTCCCAAGCCTTGATAGGCTCACATTGCCCCCTTGGGGGAAGAGGGCACCCTAACCTTGTTCTTAAATTAAATCCTAGAAGTACAGGCAATGTCTTCAAAGTAATTAGACTGTCATTTATTAGGCAAAAAGACTAGAATGAGTACCTGTGCAACACATACATAAAGCCTCAGCTCAATCTATGTACCATGAGTAGAAAGTCTGCATTCCAGCTGAAGACAGAGCACTCTCCTTTTTCCATGCACAGACAGAGACAGGCATCAGACACTGGAGCAGGAATGAGTTAACAAAACACCTACAGCTGGGGTCCTCATAACAACACAGCTTCGGTGTATCCTCAAAAGAGAAACTGTGGATAAACTCCTGTTTGTACCTGCAGGCAGTCTTTAGCTCACATTCTGCCAAATTACTGCTGGTGCAGTTTCGAAACTGGGTAACCAGTAGGTATTTCACAGCTGGTTATTTTTCAAAACCTAAGCCTCAGGATTGCTCCTTCACATGCCTGGTCCTTTTTATCTAGAAGCACCAAGTAGGACATGCTGTATTTTTCCAGCAGACTCCCTAAACAATTTCACAACCCTTTTTCTTGGAGGCCAGTGTTGAGCTGCCTGACTGGGGAACGCCCAGGAACAGCAACGCAGGCACAGGGCACCAGGGCTCCAGCCAGGAAGCTTGATCCCAGACAGCTTCTCAAAGGCTGAAATTACTCACAAGGGAGCAATTTTATCCAGCAGATCTAGCTGCTGGGGGGACCTAAGCTCCCTGGAAATGGATTTCAGTCATCCACCATCTTTCTGCTGTGTGCTGGTGGTATCTAGGATTGGTATTCCTACTAGTTGTTGATAATAAATAACCAGCAATCATCACTTCTGTGGGAATTGCATTAGCTCTGGGATATCTGCAGGGAGCAAATGCAGCCTCTGACAGGCAGGGCAGCAGTGCTTCATGCAGGCAGCAGTTAGCCAGGAGACAAGGCAAGGCTGGCCCTCCAGCCCCTGTACCCTCGTCATTCCAGCTACAGACAGAGACTGGGAGGCAGAAAACCCCTGACCATGCTGGTAAGGGCTGCAGCTTCCCATCCTGTATTCAGGACATCATTACCACCCTGCACAGTGAGGCTGTCCAGGGATCTTTCCTGACCACCCCTTTCTGGTCCCAGTAAGGGAGCATTTGTTACCCATCATACCTGCTACCTATGGGGCAGAGATCCTGATAGCACTGTGAATAATGTTTATATTAATTTGAAATATCTCCCCAATGTAAGCCAGAAGGTAAAATACTGTGCGAGTAGGCAATGCACATTGTTTGATTAAACCATACTATGCAGCTAATCAATCCCAAGTACCACAGCTCACATCATGGTTACCTATTGAAATTTGAGAAGCTTAGGAACAGACTGTATTATTTTGACTCTTTACATAAGATGCCATCAAAGAATAAAGTGATAGTAAGTATTTTCTTACCTCCCCCAGGAGCTGAACTTTGACTCATATTTTGTAACCTAGCAGGTCCAGTCATACAAGCAGAACTCGAGTGTTGCTTCACGGTACATTCTTGCATGGATGTCAGGCACCTTTCCTGTTGCAGGAGGCCAAGGAGAGAACCGTATTTCCTGTCAGAGATGGGTTCATCCACCACGTGCAGGTTGGGCAGGGCAGGATGATACACGGAACTGGTGACGCCGGGAGACCCAATGGAAGGGAAGGGCCACAGATCTGCGGGTTGAGTTGGGTGACTGCGCAGAGCCGATGGCTGGTATTGGCCTCCCATACCGGCAGCAGGAAAATTCAGGCCGGAATTTGACATGCTCGTGGCGGAAGATGACGGATACGGTTTGTAGCAATGTGATGAGAAATTCCACTGATGGGGAGACATGCTATCTGCTTAAAAAGAGAAAGAAAGCATCTGAAGTCTCATCAGTTCTTACTTTTTCCTAAGGCAAATTCCAATGGACTTCTACGGGAAGGCCACCAGATTGCATATTCATTTTTACGGAAAGATATATTCACTTTAGTGTTGCTTATCTTAAAAAAACAACCCTAAATTAATATTAAAAGCAGACTAAACCACCACCACCAATACTTCCAAATAAGTATTACGTGTGTTTTCTTACAGATCACTGGCATAGGCAGGTTTTTAACAACTGTTTGCTTAAACAAATACATTTTTGCAAAGACAACAACTTAAGTCATAATGCATTTAATGCATCTGACAGTGATGGCCACACTTGGCTGGAAAATGATGACCTAGTCCTGCCAACAGGCCTATAGAGAATTTGGGAATCACCTCAGCAAGCACAGGGATTTACCCAGGAGGTCCCTGCTACATAATCCAGGACTTTACAAGTATGATTTTCATTCTTTCTATTTGCACACAGTTCCAAATTTAGCTCACTAGATCTTAAATTCCTCAGTGAAAGACAGTCACCCCCATCCAACACCATGGAAAGTGGCTCACCATTCTTCAGGACAACATTGTCACCCTTGTGCTTTGTGCTCAGGTCTTGTGGGTTCTTGGCATTGCTGAGAGCTCTGGAAAAATGTTCATCTACCACACTGTTAATATCCCCTTGGAAATAGGTAAACACAACACTCTGAGATCCCCACTCTGTTTTCACAGCTTCTTTGCTTTTACATGGCTTTGGAGAGAGCTTCCTTGTTTCTTCCATTTTTACAAACCAATCACTCCTGAAAAAAAAAGCAAAACCAAAACAAAACAAAAAACAAAAACCAAACAAAACAAACCCAGACAGGTCAAAGCAATAATATTCAGCTTAAAGTGGCCAGTCAGTGGTGAGCCCATCTTCCTCCTGAAAATGGTAGGGCCAGAAGAACTGTGCTAGTAGGATTAGATTCTCTATCTGAGTTTCTGCTTTTTCCATGCACCTTTTCTTTACTGATTTCCTTATTATATACTTTTAACATGGAATACTTGGGCAAAATGGGCACATCTATCAACCAGCTGTCATTTCTCACCGTGACCCTTGGCCTTAGGACCTACTGCTGTGCAAATGTGCCCTCAGGATAGAGCAGTGCTGGAATAACTGAAGCACTTAAAAAGTAATTCAGAGGTGGCACAGTCACTGAATGAAGTTCAGAGTGAACATATCAAAATGCTTCGTCCATTTCTGGTTTTTGTATGGCTCAAAAACATACTGACACAGTGAAAAAAAACCCAAACCAAACCAAAACAAGAAGAACAAAAAAAACAAAACTCCACCACTAATTAGAGCTGAAAATAATAATTTTAGATAAGGTAAAGTTTGAAGTACCTTGATCACTGTCAGCACAGACCTCCACAACAAAAAGACTTCTGAGAGTAACTCGTTGCTTCACCTGTTAGAAAAAGACACTCAGATTAAATTATTAGAAATTCAAATCATGACAAATTCAAGTAAAAAAAAAAACAAACCCAAAGCCAAACAAATAATCTTTTTTGTTTGAAACAATTTACCTCAGAACATGATGGGTCTGCCAGTTAGTTAAAACTTTGGTAGCAAGACTGCTGAAACACACACTGTGGGCCAACCCAAAGTTACAGATTTAAGGCAGGAACTACACTAAAATAGTTTGCAGGAAGTCAACAGAAGACTATAAGAGTCCTTTTTGTTCTCCTTAAAAAATATCTGCTGCCAGATATGGTAAGAGTAGGACAAGGAATGTCACTGCTTGCCCTGGAGAAGCATCATTTTCATGCATTTGTGCAGTTTCTGGCCGCAGGGGAACAAGTTCCCCAACCACGGCTCACACGTCCTGCCTTAATCAGAATCATATTTAACAACGCTCAGGCTACAAATGCCATGAGAAGTGCCTGCTGCTTCTATTCAATTTTCCAGACTCATTGTCAGCTCATGACACTGCATAGCATAATCAATTTACCTTGGTAGCAAAAAGAAGCCTGTTATTTTTCAGAGACCAGGCAAACCTTTGGCCAATAGCCAGTTGTACCACGCAAAACCTAATGAATCATTTGATTTATATTTCCATCCAGCTAACCCTGCAATATGCAGCATTGCTTAACCTATTCCTAGCATTTATCAGATTTCTTTCCTAGTCATAAACCCCCCAATCCCCAGAAGCTTCCCAATAAACATTGCACTCATCTCTGTCTCAAAGAACACCCCGAAGAGCCTGTGAATGCTGCCTTCAGATGGTTTCTCAGAATTTCTTACACATGAAAATACTGTTCAGGCTGCAAAGCCAAGTATACAGGCATCAAGAAATATGAGGATTATGGTTAACAAACCACAATCTATCACCATTTTAATCCTTCAACTACAAACTTCTTGTCCATGTTTATCACTTGCTTCTATGTCTAGTTTTGCTTGTTACCTCCATCTCCCTCTCCCTTGTGCTCGGTTCAGTTCTCCCTACTTCACAGTCCCTTGCTCAGCCAGCCCTAAACCCCTGCCATCAATGCCAACTCGTGTTCAAACTCCAGAGTTCCTCAGTCCTTATCTTGGGATTTCTATTGCTTTGCCCCAGCTCTGGCCTCACATCCACCTAAACACAGGGATGGGAACAGGATAGGTTCAGGTTGGTCACCAGCCAGGAAATGCAAGGGCATACTTTAACAGTCATCTGATTCAGAAGATAATCTTTCACAATTTTAAAACTGACCCAACTTTCCCAGACATGAAAAACTTACACCAAAAAAACTTCTTCCTAATTTACAGGCACCTTCCCAAGGCCCGTGAGGGGAGCAGGAACTAGCACAATGCAGCCAAACAACTGGAAGACCTTCAAGGCACAGGAAGAGGCACTATTTTTTCCCCAATCTTGTTTTAGAAAGCAACCCACTGTTTAGGTGAAGGAACCTTCTGGTTGCTCAGCTGGAGGCCACCACTTGCCATTGAAAATTCCAACCAAAGCAGCAAAAGCTTGGCGAAGACATCAGTGATCACATGGCCTGAGAAAGGACATCAGGCCATCCCAACAGCAAGCAGCAAACCAGCTTTTCCTACACTGCTCCAACACTGCACATCAACATACAATTTAGAGAGCATTAGCTCTGGCCCAGAGGTTCACTTTTCCTGTTCCTCACTCAGTGCAAGACATTCAGTCTTTGTACCACTTTCATTAACATGCATTAACTGGCTCTTGACACTAATTCTGAGCTCCTTTAGCACCGTTTATTGCTGTGAAGCAGCTTGTGCGAAAATAATATATTTTAAAGAAGAAAGGTCATCTGTCTCTTTTTTGTTTTATCATTTCCTTTGAAAACCTCTTGTTCTTTCCAACAAGTAGCCATAGGAAGGCTGGATATAACCTAGGTTACATCTCAGTCCCTCAGTGATCATATGCACATGAAGAATCTAATGTCCCAGGAGGCAGGATCTAAATTTGTGGTGCTGTCTTCATTACCTGAACTTCCTATTCTTCCATCTTCCAGCAGGAAGTCTTCAAAAGAAGGCAGAAATCCTTCCAACCTGTGTCTCCCACAAACTGTTGACAAAGTGGAGTAGAAGTGGAGCTCAGGATGAAGCAGACTCAGCTCACCTCACACTGCTCTCAGAATGGATTAATTACGGCAGAATAGTGCAAGTAGTTGTCCAAGTTACTTGTCCTTAAGGTGGACAAGGAGGTGTCCTCAACACAGGCTTAAGAGAAATGGTTGTTGATGGCTCATCACAAGTGACAATACTTTACAATGTCTCTCACATTCCTACCCTTGCTCACAGTATTGATTGCCCATCACTGGAGCATCAGACAGGGAACTCTCTCTGTTCTTGCTTTCAGGTAGCTCAAACCAGTTTTAAAAACAAATTAAAAAAATTTCCACTTCCCAAGTATTAAGCAACAAATTAACAAGCAGGCATTCTCTTTCATCCAGAGATAAGGGAACAAATAAGGGAACATTTGAGAAAGTCAGTGAACGTGGGTTGGAATTATCCCTGAGTTCTCCTACCTTAACTCACTGTCAGGAGCGGTGTCACACCAGGGAGATGTTTCGGGTGCGGGATGGTCATGGTGTGTCCAGCAGGTTTGGGATCCTTCCCGGGGCCCGGCAGGCTCTGTGTGCTCTGCAGCGACTGCAGCAGGAGACAAGCCACGTTCATGAACTCCTCACACACTTTTTAGCCTCCAGCTGCGCGTGAACAAGGCGTTTCCTTCAGCCTATCTGCTAAGAATGCATGAAATGCACTCCAACAAGTCAACCAGGTTAGGAGGTTTCAGGAATGAGGAAAATAGGATTGTAAGTAGGTTTGGGTTTGTTGGTTTGTTTTCTTTTTTTTTTTTCTTTTTAATGACAATGTGTACACAATAAAGAGGACTGTGGACTTTGGAAGAGTTTAGAGTAGGATGATGAAGTTATGGCAGACAGCCAAACTTAGCCAGGATGATAAAGGTTTTTCCTATGCCAGGCTAGGACATATTCAGTATTATGTGGGCAACATCTACAAGAAGGAAAGGAGGACCTGCCTCCAATCCAGAAAAACTTGATAACTGATTTTCTCTCTCTTCTTCACTGGATCTGTTTAAATGACTGCAGAAAGCTTCAGAAAATAAAAATATTCTTGTTCTTCAAGGACTATAGCAGGAAATAGAGTTTGGGGTTTTTTTAATAGCAAGTTTACCAAAATTACCCAATTGCAGTCATTCCAGAAATGCTGAAACAGGGTCAAACTTGCCAGTCTCAGCTGGAAAAAACACCTTGGGAACTAGAGTCACCAAACTGGTGACATTATGTGTTTTATAGAGCAGCTTAGGAGTTTGTTTACTCATCCAGAAAGCAGGAGAGCACAATTCAATTCCCTCTGCCTAAATACGTATGAATCCGCCCTCTGCCATCTCCCAGACCAACTTAACTACCAGGCTGAGATTCCCGTGATGGTGCTTAGTCTTTTATTGACACACGCTTTGCATAAACACATTTTCATTGTGAGACACACTGGATTCCAGTCCATCAGCAGGGCAAGAGCCCTCAACATCTCCATCACTCCTTTTTTGATCCCCTTTTCTAAACTAGCTCATACAGCAGAGATTTCTTCTGCTAAAGCTTTTCAAGATCTCATTCAAAAATTCCCTCTCAGGTTGGCAGTTAAAGCACTTGGCTGGTTGTTAAAATGGAATCAGTTTAAAGCTCCTACAAGGAACTACTGGGTAAAATGGGATTATAATCCCTGTTCTTCAGTACAGGAATTGAGCAACTGATTTCCAGTGCTTTTTAAGCAAAGTGTCAAAGCTTTGAAGAAAACAAAATTGAAAAAAAATAAAATCTTTATTTTTGAGAATCAAAATTGAAATTCTACTTGTCTTTAACAAATAAAACCCCCACAATCTCATTTATAACTGTGGTGTCCGCAATCATCCCTTCTACTTCTTTTATATCTGTGCAGGTCCATTAACACACCAAGCCAGGAAGAAGACAAAACCCACAAATGGGGAACAGATACCATATCCCACTTACAGTTCCAGCAACAAGTCTACTGGATCCGGCTGGAAAGCTCTGGCTTGTTAACACATGTATTTTATAAAAATCCCTGTGCACCAAAGGCTACTGTATCTTCTACCGAGGGGAAAAAAGACAAATACATTATCTCAGAACGAATCAGCAAAGACTTGTTCTGTTCACCAGTTTGTTTATTAAAAAGGTAGTATAAAACACAACCCCTTTAAGAAACAAATTGAAGACAAACCAAGGGATTCTCAGATGCTGTCACAAGTCTAGATATTATTCAATTACCATTGCTTTTAAATGTTGGTTTTCTAAAGGATAAATGAAAATGGTCAATTTATCGAAAGAAAAATCACCAGTCAGAAAAAATTCCAAGTCAACTTACTGAAAAGTTTAATCTAACAATATACTTTCTTATTACAGAATGAGCAAAAAACCAATTTGCTGCAAAAGATTTCATAATTCTATAAATATTTTACAGAACTTTCAGAGTATCCTGACAGTAAGACTTCAAGCCGTGTATAATAAGCACTAAAATACACACAAGTCAAATCAACACAAGTACACAACTCACAGAATTCATTTCCCATACTGCAGTATGTTTCCTCAAATTCAGAAATGAGAACTTAAAATCCAATTAACATCTATAGGTAAGTATTTTTAATTTTTTTTTCTCCAATTTGTTTTGTTTAGGTTCAAGAATTCAGGGTACGAATATCGATTTTACTGGAAAATTTAAAGGCAAGTTTGGGTTTCTATGAAGCATCCAATACCTTTGAGTTAAGTGAATTAAGTGAATTATTTGTAATTGTAAATAGGTTAACCTTAACTGAATAATGTCTAGGACATTTAGCTAAAATGCACTGCATTTAACATACCAATGATTTTAAGTGAATTGCAATCCTTATACAAAATGTAAGCTGTACGAGGGACTGAAATTCAATTAAAAAAAGTAATTAAAAAAAAGCAGGAGAAACAGATAAACATTTTGATGCAAAATGAAACTAATTCTCTCTTTACAGCTGTATATGAACATTCCAGAACCTACGAGAAAAAGAGAAAGCCTTCGAGAAACCCTTTTCTTTTGGGGCTTTTTGTTTCCAGGTGTCTACCTTGGCCTTGCTCCTCAAGCCACGTCATCTCTGGCAAATACCTGTAACCCCATAAAACTTCCTTGCCAGCGAAGCACTAAAGAGCAGTTGACTGTAAAGCAAACTACCAATGTATCTTGAAGCTAAGAAATGATTTTGGATGGTATGGTTAAAAAAGCAATTATTGCTGAATTATACTGAAGGATCAGTTAACACTCTGTCCCTGCTGTTGTGTTGAAGTGGCTTCACATCCATTTTGTTACACTGTGTGAACTAACAGAAACAAGTATTTCTCCAGTTCAAAACTGAGCAACAAGGATTATCCACAAATTGTTTCAGCCTCCTGCTGGTTATTGTTTTCATCATATTCAGAGGGAAGGAGACAGATTCTCTTACAATGAACCTCTCACCAAAAGCTTACAATACATTAGAAATCGAACAAAAAGTTTGATTTTGTCACTTCTAGTGAGCAAGTAATTAAACAGCACTTTTAATTAAAGAACAAATACATGAAAATTCCATGGGGGTTTTAACTTCTTACCAACTTATGTATGATGCTGCTCAGTCAGAATAATATATAAGTTTAAAAAGCAACTCACCTTGTTCAGCTTCAGATTTGTTAAAATTTGGTATTAAACATTACTGCTCTATACAACAAGATTGTCACAGTCATACTTCAAAATAGTAATTTTAACTTTTGTGATTTTTTTATTTCTGTTCAGATTAATTTATAAAAATTTGCATCATTTCAAAAAAGGAAAATGTCAAAAGAATTCAGTCTGAATGAAAATCTGCTGAAAAGAAAGTTACAGCTGCATTAACCTCTCCTTGGACTACTAAATGCAATAACTCAATGTGTAGTTTATAAAAATATATTTTTACATTTTACTGGGGAAAACAGAGGTAGACAAAAGGAAAATACCAGTTTGAGTGTAATGCCGCACTTCAGAAAAACGTATTTGCATGAAAAAACAGCTTTTATTTCCTTAAGAACCCTATTTAATAGGAAAGCCAGTAAAGCATTTGGTCTCAGTCTTTCTTGGTGCTCTATTTCGGTGTGAGGTCTAGAGAGAAAGGTGAAAGGACTGACATCAACGGGACTTCTGCAGCAAGCCAGTCAAATGTGTACATCAATCGGAGAGAGGAAGGTCACTGCACATAAAATGATTCTTTATTTCTCAAATAATACACTACACTAACCTTATTTTTCATATCTGATACCATAATAAGGCTTCATAGAACTGTACAAGTTTTATACATTTGTCCACAAGTTTCCCTACATCAGTTGCAATTCCACTGTAAAACAGGTGATTTAACTGTGTAGTGTTACATGACTGGGGCTCCTTTAAAAAAAAAAATGAAGCAAACAAAACACAAGAGCAATTGATCTAAAGCCTGGAGTCTAGAAGCTGGAAGGAAAAAAAAGGAGCACTGAAAGCAATACCCACCACATTAAATCACACTCCTCATAGGCAAACGCTCCCAGCTCTCAAAGGTCTGTGGTGCTTATTACCAATAAAAATAACTAAGGCAGAACCAACACAACCCAGAGATGTATCAGAACATGCCACCACGTGCAGCTACTAAGCAGGCAGTGTTTCACATCCCCTGAATTCTTCAAAGACCTGCTTTGCTGAAACGTACAATTCACACTTGGAAATAGGAGCAAACGGACTTTTTTAGCTGGCAAGAGCTACAGCTCTTCCTTCTAATGCAACTCAAAAAAGGAAATTCGTCATGCCAGCTTATAATGAGCCCCCGACTTTTAACCTCTGAATTCAAATGTAATCTCTGTTGTAAAATCAGGTATTTTTTGTCACAAAAAAGATGTAACTTATAACCACAGTGGCAGGTGTTAACTTAGATGCCCTGGTTGGCATAGCTACCCACACATACTGATTATATATTAAAAAAAAATCCAACAAAATAAGAGAACCATATAGACTTCTTGAAAAAATATATATGGTAATCTCAGAGCACAAATTTTCAGAGTATTCCAAATACCTCATGATGGAAATACAGGAATTAGCATCTATAGTTTCTTGCAATCCAATATGAATTAAAGCAATTCAACAGATCCTCCTTACAAATGTGTACTGGTTACCACCCATATGAACAATGTGCTATGAATTTAGCACCAGTATTTTAATTATTTAGTGCCTAAATCCATATTCTTTTACCCTTACTTATCAAAATAACAGGATTCTAAATTAAGAATGACTATGCCCAAACCAGCTCCCTCAGTTATTTTTGATAGCCTGCCATGTATTAAGATACCTGAAGTTAGAATGTCTTCTAAATCCTTGCTTTTGGAAATATTTCTAAGAGGGCTAGCATTTGCTTTTTAAGAGCATTATTTGAAAGCATGTTTTCAAGTTTTCTAACTTCTGCACAACAAACTGTAGTTTGAGCTGCCAAAAGCCTTTAAATCTTATGAAATATGGAAGATCCTCCCCACTCTGAAGAGCATGCAGGGCTAAACTAAAATGTTGAGAACTTACACTCATCATGCTAACAAAGTGGAACAAAAACCTTTAATATAAAAGCAAAAACTAATAAAGCCACCACAAAAATCGAAAGCCTATTTTGATACCTACTGCATACAGACCATGAGAGTTTAAGATCTATCTATTTCATTATGTCCTAGAATGTGTGTGCTCATGCATTTCTAGTCTCCTTGACATAATT